CTTTTAGAGACACGCTCTGTGAAACAGAGAAGTATATTTGGTAATGGGAAATTATAAAATGTTAAACATATTGACTTAAAGTCTTTCCTGTGTCTTACCGGTGTTTGGTTGAGGTCTTCGTCATACGAGAATGCAGGTGATCCTGGCAGAGTCATCATCAACACCAGCAGTAAATTCTTCAAATCACGGGAAGCTTTACCACCAACCTGCAGAAACACATTGTAGTTTTATAATAAGTCACTAAGTCAAATACATTTAAAAACGATAGTTAATTTATGCAGACGTCTTACTGTCCAGCTGGGCCAGGAGTCTTCTTCTTTTGTTTGCAGCTGTGTCTCTATGGCAGCAGCAACTTCCTTTGAAGACAGGAGGTGTTCTGAAGTTGGCAGAATTGACTTCAAGACTACATCCACCACTGTGACATTGCTATGGCTAGGGTTTTTTAGTAGAGGCAGAACGCCGCTCGTCTGTTTCACCACCACAATCCTGAAGAAACACACAGATGTGGTTTAAAGTTCATTTTCAAATAAAAAAACAAACAAACACCTTTCAACATTTATAACAATACCTTTCCTCCTCCTCACTGCCAAACTCTTTGAAGACACCTTTCCACTCCAGCAGAGTCTGAAATGTTAAAAACATAGTTGGAGGGGAGTTTGGAAAACTGCTTGTAACAATCAAAACACGTGAGAGAGCATCACTTTACCTTTTCTGAATACGCTGCATCTGTGTCACAGATTTCAAAGCCTGCCGCACCCTGTTGCAGCCAGAACCGCAGTGCATGCTGTGGAAAAAGTATTGCCATGTTTATAAGAAATCCAGCACTGAGAACTTAAAATGTTTACCAGCATAACAAGAGAGGAGGTTTTACATGGATGGTGCCTGAGACACCCGAAGTCTTGCTAGCATTTCCCGCTTCATCTCCAGGTCCCAACAGATCCACTTCACAGACGTTTAACAGCACCTTGAGATCTGTTGGGCCAATAAAAAGCAACATTTTGTCTACTGGTGCAGGCTGTTTGAAAAGAAAAAAGGCCCTTACCCACCTGCTTTGTTGCTCTCTGCTAGCAGATGCTGGATCTGAGGCAAAGTCCCAATCTTTTCACCAGTAGCATTGTTTGTGGGATACGCCTTCTTGTCAAACAGACCCTGCAGAATTAGAGCTCCTATACCCAAGGACTTGAGGTAAGGAAGCTCATCACACAGCGCTAGGGGGTTTAATGAAAGACAAAGATAAAACAAGATAAAATGTTTTATAATGGGGTTTTTTGTATGTACCAGATGCAGATAGATTATGTAGGCTATTTGCGGATGCTTATCTGTACAGTTAGACAACATTTCTTGAAAATTGTTGGACCTCTCTGCGAAAAATCAAAACTGTTCATCACATTTGAATACAATTAAATACCAATGCAGCTTTTTTATCTCCATACCAAGATTGTTGCTCATTAATTATGATTTGGCTCACAATATTAATGCGGTGATGTCTAAAGAGTCCATGTGGGGAATAAATCAAGTGAATGTCCACGCCAATTAAAAACATATATTCAGCTTTCATGCAAATTATGACTGTTTGGCCTCAGACATTTTTCTCAGTAATCAAGGAGTTTATTTGTTAAAAATTTAAATTGGGGTGCGGTTTGAATGTTCCTATACAGTGTATGACAGCACTATGATTCATATCAGCCAGCTGGTAGGCTTACTTACTGAAAGTAGCTGATCTCCACATGTAATATGTTTAGCTTATATTCTTTATCCTCAACAGGTCAATCTGGCCCACAACAAGACACCACACACCATAAGTGTTACCATGAAAACGTTCTTACTGCTCTAGCTTTAATATTATGTTCATACTGACATTTCTCACTAATGTTCACACAGTAAGACACAAGCAACATCAAGTTTGTTGTTTTGATTTGCAAAAACTGTTGAATAAACTATGAATTCCTCCAAATGGCCACTAGAGGGCAGTAAATCCAACTATTTTATCCCTCCAAATTGGCATTTCCTCACCATTGATGCCCCGTGACCCCTCGGCCTGCTTTTCCAGGGTCAGCTCTGGCTCCACCTGGTAGAACAGGGACTTCTGCCACCACTTCAGCGGCGTTACAACCGGTCGGGGGCTCATGGTTATAATGGCGATGGCAATGGCGAGCATGGCTAACCAGGCCAGCCAGAACAGCAGCACCAGGTAACACCGCACCTTCTTCCAGCCCGGACCTCCGGCTGCCAGCTGCAGCTCCTCCTTGGAGAGGGGCTGCCACTGCTGGATGGGCTCCGGTTCGTCCTCCGGGATGAGCAGCGGGGCCGACTCCGAGCCGCCCACGGTGCTCGACAGCCCCGGGCCTGCCACGCTGCCATACCCGGTGTCTCCTGCGTTCAGAGGCATCCTTTCCGGCTACGGATAGGTAACATAATAGTTAGATTAAAGGGTTAATTAATTTGTGTGGTAATGCATAGGCCTACGGATACTTAAGTTACAGCAGGCAGGAATAGGCCCATGTTGAAGTTTTGTTTGGTGGTCTAACCGTACCTTATCAGTTTGCTCCAAGTGAAGAACAATGGGACTCTAGATATACTCAGGTGCTGCAGGATTCAAAGTTTCTACATTAAAGTCATTCCACACTCAGCAAGCTGCTCTGCCATGACCTGAACCCCTGCTGCTGCTGCTGCTGCTACCGGGTTTACACAGGTGTTTCCATTGATTAAATTAGCTGATTTGACTTGTTCCAGTTCAGGTGACATATAGCGGTGAAGTTAGTTTTAGGTTGGATATTCAACAGACATCACTGTTGATATGGAAGCTATAGATAAAAACTGAATTGAATAAAGAGTGTTGTGTCATATTTGTCCAGTGTAATCCTAAAATCTGGAAAGGACATGAAAGCAATTGAAACAAACTGAAATTGAATTTTTTGAGCATAGTTTTGACAAAATGTGTTTGCATAGCCATAGAGGAATGACAATAACATTGTTTTTTTGTCATTCAAATAGTTATTTGTTATTAATTGAAATTTAAGAGTAATAGCCTCACATGTGAGCTAACTGACCCCTGACTTCCAACAGTCTGTGAAACTGAGTAGGCTAGTTGATTATCTAACCTAAAAACTGACTTCACTGCGGTAATTGATATTACTACTGGTCCTGGAGCCAAACCAAAAGCAAATGTGCACATAAACACATCAAGAAAGTAATTTAAACACAACAAAAATGTCTTCTAATGCTGCTATACAAACAACACAATGAAATGTTATTCTACTTATATTTACTTATATTTACTCTACTTTATATATTTAGAGATGGTGAACAGAAAACAAGCGGTTTCTCCAATTTCCAAGAGATTTGCATGCTTAAAAATACTAGGTAGACTTAATTGTGTCTCTAGGGAGGTTAACTGCATATCTACTGTCATATTTTATTTGTATATATGCTGCTGTTTTTCATATAATTCTGACATCCCTTTGATCACATTAGAAATTGAATTAGTGAGACTGATTATCCTAACATCACATCATTTGCTAGTTGAGGAGCCGTCTTGTGGCCACTATAAAACAGCTGCTTTTATTCAGCATTGCTTTGGACTGAAATGCACCAGCTGGCCAGTTCATGTTCAACTTTCTTTGAAGCAACACCAACCACTTTGTGCCTATGTTGTTTATCTAAAAAAAACACATATCACAGTCATTACTCACATTGTCTGTTTGAAGTTTCAGGTTCCTTTTTCTGCTTTTCCGACTCTTGTTCCTCTTTATCTTTGTCCACAAGTGTTCCCAGCTGAGCAGCAGCGTCCTGAATACTTCACTGAACTGCCTTCTGGAGAGTGAGGAGGTGAGAAGCACACACACCAAAAAAGTACTCTGCTCTCTCAATTAATACAGAGGTGCTGAGCCTTACCACACCCTCCCAACACATTCTAAAGAACACATGACTGCCAAGCAGAGCCCCCTGAAGACCCTCATCTGGTAGTTTTGACCCTATTTTTAGTAGTATTACTACTGCAGACAGGCTTTTGGATGAGATTTATGTTTTCTTTACTCTATAGTTTTTCTGTCTGAATGGATTACACACTTTTATTAAGGTTTTAATGAAGATGATTATACAAGCAAAGCCATTGCCATAGAATGAGGGCTATAAACTTTAATCATATATTATTGTTTATAATAATATATTTGAGATATTTCTCTGTATGTGTAGAAAAACTGAAAAAAACAAGTTTAATGTGCAACTGTTTTGATAACTCATCTGAATAATTTACTGGAAACAAATTTGCTGTTTCCAGTTTCCTAATCATGTTTAAAAAAAATTATGGATAAATCAAAAAGTAAATAATATTTTTTTAATAGTTCAAAACCGCAACTCATAGCATATCAATTTAAAAATAATTAAGCAAACTATACTATCAGTGGGTTCTGTACAAATCGGTTTCCTGCAAGACATTCATTTCTAAATCACATGCTGTTGTCACCTATCACACCTCCTCTCTAAAGAGCCATAGGCGTCCACATTCAATGACTAATTTGTGCTAATTCCTGGGAACATCTCGTCTTCTTTACCCAAGTATTTCCCTCAACTCCCCCTCCATTCCCTATAGCTCCCTGCTGCGTTCTTTCTCCTTTTGTTTCTCTCCCTCTGGCTTTCTTCTCTTATTGCACACGTTCAGTTCTTGCTGTAACAAGTCATTGCTATTCATGTCACCCTCGCTCTCTGACAGCATTGTGCAAACTAATTGTTTACTGAGAGATACTGCGTTCCATCACGAGAGTCTCTGATGCACGTGTAGCCCACGTTTGAAGCACACATTGAAAGGTGAAGCACGTGTGTGATGTGTAGCTATGAATAAGGAGTGCCAGATCCTTTGTTTGCATACAGTTTCAGCCTCACAGCCATGTAAGATGAGCTGCGTTATCAGTGTTTCCCCTAGGATGGAGTCATAGCAGCGGTGCTAAGGCAGTAACAAAAGACAGTATATAAATATTATACAAATAACACAAGACAGTGGGTTTTGATTACAATTTGACTTTAATTGACTGGATCACAAGTGCTCGAAAATCAGCTTAATTTAGTGCTCATCTAAAATTGACAAAATTGCTGGTCTCCATGGAGATATTGAAGATGGTGATGATACTGTTTTCAGGGAAACGTCTTTAGTTTAAGTCTTCCTCTGATCCTTCGGTGTCCTGAAACACAACAAATAATTTTACTGACATTGAATAACTACATTGTAGAGTTCACTGTATTTTCCAGCGGGAAATACTTTTATTAAAAATCGAATCGCATGACTCAATGTTTAGCTTAGCATCTAAAGTTGTTTGAGTAATTCTAATTTCAAAGCATCAGATCCATATGTCCTACCCTAGGCTCCCGGGATCTGACAGTCATGGCGTGTTTCTGATATGAAGAGATGATGCAGTCTCGCCTGGTAAGAGAGGAACAGTGTTATTATGCCAAAAGGTGTTCTGTTCTATTACTGTAGCTTTTCTGTAGGACATAAAGTATTTTTTTTTTTGATCTGATTTTGGTGGGTGGGATAAGTTGCTCAGGCTCACTTGCTGGTGATGCCTCCACCTGGTGGGAGCCCGGGAATCTCTTGGGCAGCCAGAAACTTGATCACATACAAAAGGTCAGGTTCATCATCTTTGGACTTCATTATCTGGACTATTTCTGTGAAGGTAGAGAACATTATTCTTATTAATCAAGAAGCAACAGTTGTTTGAATTTGTTGTCTTCTTGTTGGAGTAGAGAAGCACCTTCCACTTTCATATCAATATGTTTCTCCAGCTCTGCATCCTGCTGCAGCGCCTCCTCTGTCACCTTGGGGGCGCCAGGGAAGCAGACGAGGATGATGCTCATGTTATCCAAGCTGCCCTGCAGAGGGAGACAGAAATATCAGAAAAGACTGACAGGAGGAAAGGTTTAAGTTTAAACAAAGAAAGCTGGTTTCTAGTTACTCTGCATTTAAAGAAACATATAAGAAGTATATAAGTTACACTTTGGGACTTGTTATGCAGTATGTTAAACTGTTCAGGTCTAAGGGAGATCAGTTGTGTTTTGGACAGTATATAATTCTCCAATGTTGTCACGGTTGAGAACTTATAGAGGATGTTTATATTGCTAATTTGCAATTGATTTTTAAGTCTGTCGCTTTAGGAAAAATAATATATTAAGTAGCCAGGCCATTATTAGCTTACTTCAAATGTATGGTATTAGTGTAAACACCTACAAACGATTGATGAAGTGAACTAAGCCTGTTGCTTCTCACCTCAAAGGCATGACTAGTGAGGCTCAGTGTGTACTTGAACATGAATACTTTCAACGGTACTGTTCAGTAAGCCTTGCTGGGAGAAATAAATAGCAGGCCATCCCAGCCTGGATAAAGCCTCTGAGCTTGTGTGTACTGAGCGGTAACACTGAGCTCCCTTCTACAGACTCACACTCACTCTTAATCCGAGCCATGTTTAGCATTTCTTCCATCCTATCCCATGTCTTGGGATTCCGTAATACATCTATTTATAGACGGGCTAAGGGCTCGTCAGTGTTCAGATGAGCGGTTTACTAACAAGCATTAAGAGAAGTCTTCTTACATAAATCCATCATGTCACAGAGGCCATGCCCTCAATGTACACCTGTACCCTGTGCCCGCTTCTTAATGTAAATCTTCCCAATCATATTATTATCTGTTGTGTGTTGTGCTGAGTTTGGAGTAATGCTGAGCTAAGACTACAGCAATATGACTACTGTTCTGTACAGCAGATTCAATTAATATATTGTATGGTCTAGTCTGCTTTTAGGAAACATGTATGAGACTGATGAGACCAGTATTAAAAACAATCTAAATTGAGTGAGAATATAGAACGCCTGTTCCGAAAAACACAAAATAAGATTCTTTACAGAAAATAAACAATTAACGAGAGGTTCCTAGAGTTGATTGACAAACGGCAATTCATTCACATGAAAGTTTGAGACAACAATTGTAGAAAGGCTTCATTCAGGAGGCTGTGGCTCAGTGGGTAGTGTGCTGGACTTTGAATCAGGGGATAGCAAGTTCGAGTCCCACTGCAGTCAGCATGTCGTTGTGTCCCTGGGCAAGACACTTCACCCCAAATTGCTCCTGTGGTGATTGTCCACAGTACTGAATGTATGTAAGTCGCTTTGGATAAAAGCATCTAACAAATGACATGTAATGTAATGTAATGTAATTCAGCCACAACCTGTGTAATGGATTAGGCTGGGCTATATAACCTCAATGAATATTATGCAACCCAGTCTCATGGCATTTCGTGTTATAGTCACAAAATGTATCTATTGATTCGTGTTCACCAACACGATTTCCCCATTTTTTTTCAGGTCACACAAAACGATTTTAAAAGCAATGTAAATAATAACAAATTAGAAGGAAAAATATTTTTTTTTTAAAATACAGATTTCAGTATTCTGACACAGAACCATTTTAGAAGCAATGTATTTCTATTGGTAGTATGTTTCGTGCCTGCACCAAATAATAACAAATTAGAAGGAAAAAAAGATTTAAAAAATACAGATTTCAGTATTCTGAGGCTCTGAGCCATTTCTTTTCCTCGCAGNGGTGTTACACAGTCACAAGATGGAGAATACTGGTTCAAAGCAGTATACAATGTTCTGTTTAGATTAGCGACGAGCATGATAATTTCTGACGTGGGCTTTAGCTAATCTAAACAGAACATTGTATACTGCTTTGAACCAGTATTCTCCATCTTGTGACTGTGTAACACCCTCTCTTGTATATAAGCAAGTGAAGGACACTGTTCGGGGAACTAGTTGTACCATATGCTCTGTGTGTGATGACTACTTCAATTCGTGAAGGATAATAAATACATGTATCCTGATATTGAAGCTCAAGTGACATTTTGATAACAAAGTTCAATCAGTAAGACTATCTTTAAGCTTAATTCATTCAAATGCTTTCTCTCTCTCCTGCTGTTCCTTAATAAGCTAATATGGGTTCTTTCTTCAAATTCAGTCAGACAACTCACATGTTCTTAAGTTTATTATAGCAGCATATAGTTTGAGTTTGGCGTCTCGGCTCGGGCCTCATCACTCCACAGATTTACAAAGAACATCAGTGATGATTAGATAACTATCCCCCGAGCCTACAGGGGAGCTGGGGTGGTTAATTTGGGTTACATGGGTTAAATGGCTGATTACATAAAAAACAGTAACTGGACTCACCAAATCCACTGCAAAAACTCTGTTAAGAACATAAATGCAACGTAAATCCAGTGCAGATTGCGCAACACTTTACTCGCTGTCACTGTCCTCCTCGATAACGATGTCCACCCTTCCAGGTTTTTTGGTTTGCATTAAGGAAGACCAACGCTATACTGATATGTCACAGTAACGGTAAACCACAAGAAAAGTAAGTCCAGCGGGTCACAAGTTGAATACATATAATACGGTAGTTCTATTATGCCTTTAAGCCTATACGTTTAACCCATAAGAACCCGGACCCATTTCTACTTTTGGGGAAATTAAGGGGAACGTCATTTAGACTAAATAGACACATTTCTGACAAGTAACCCCCCCTAGTGTCAAATATCTGGGCTTTAATGGTAAAGTCACTCTTATTTATAACTTAATTAACAAGGATGATGTTTTGGTTTGCATTTGTTTGAACATACTATGAATTGAAGAATAAAGCATATGTTAACTAAATATAATTGAATCAGCTAAATTAACTGACCAGACCATAATCATATTTCTAATTGTGCATATATGTCACTCCGGGTTTACTGTGAATGTTTAGGGTTAAAGTCCCGATGTGACACCATGTGTCACAGCAATATTTATGGCATTTGTTTCAGATCAATTTCATCAAGAAATGTTTCCACAACAGTTTAAATGTAATCAGAATCAGAATACCTTTATTCGTCCCACAGAGGGGACATTTACATTTGTTACAGCAGAAAAGAGCCGAAGAGAGCTTAATGTTTAACAAATGACATGTCATGTAAGCATTTTTATTCTTAAATGGCTTGAATATTAACTTTAACAACAAAAAACCTTTCCAAATCTAGCTAGTTCTGTTACATGTTTTAGCCTGACACATGGACATCTTGGACATGTTGTTATGGGAAGACAAAAGCAAATGACAAGGACCATGACCCCAGACTGTTCAGTGTGTGTCACTTAGGGACTTCATGAGATAAAAAAAGGCTAAAGCTGTATAAGGAACTTTCCAGAACATTTAAATTTCATGTGTCACCCGTGTCTAAGCAATTCTGTCTGCCTTCCGTGTTCCTGTTGTTATTTACTTCCTCTCTGCCTTCTTCTGATGATTTATCTGTTAGTTTGTGTGTTTAATTCCCATGCATCAAGGTTATTTTCATGTATGTAATTGTTTTTCCTGCACAGTGTAGAGTCTTGTTGTGATGAGAGGGATACAGGTATTTCATAAAAAAAACGTGCTCCCTGGAGAATAGCTACAGAATTGATATCAAAATTTAATCGGAGCTGATCACAAGTTGTCATAGATGATCCAGTCATCTCGATGAGCGTTCGGGCTGTGAATAAACAACTTGTGTTTTACTTTTAGGCTGTCTGAAGGTATGGACAGCTATCAAAGCTACTATACATCACATTAAGAACGATGAACAAATGAAAGTCGGACACAAATATATAATTTAAATGATTTATTGAAGTTTGCAATGTTTTGAACAGGCATCCACACAGTCACCTACTTTGTAATGTTCGATACCTCCCTGTAAGCGTCACGAGATCGGCCTCTCACCCACAACCTCACATACGAGTACTGAATGTGCAGCAAAGTGATCTTAGGAAGGCAGATATAGCAAAAGATGAACGTAAACGACAAACGAGGCGATCAACATGTTTCATTCCTGGTAAGTCAAAAATGGGTCCTCAATCTACACGCCCCGGATTCCTATGACGAAAATAATAGAATGTCGCCAGTTGTCATGACTCAACTTACACTGCAACACCGGATATAAAACTGAAACTGTAGAGCCCTGAAAGTCGGACGAAAGTCGGACGTGTTTTGCTGGAGCATTTTGCAGCACCTCAGCGCCAATGTCGGCATCATCATCTGCCACGTTTGCCTCCATTTTGTTCACGACTAGATGACTAGGGCCTACAGCGCCGACTAGTGGTAGAGGTAGTCGACTAGTCGATTAGTTGGTGAAACCCTAACGCAGCAATAGCAAGTGAACACAGCAGTGGCAGCAGCAGCATAGCAAGGCAGAGGCAGGAAGACCTGGCAGCTTAAATAGAGCGGCATGTTTAGGAGAATGTGTTTGGTTGGTTGTAAGAGGGACGAGGTGCGTCACGTGTTAATGTATCATTGGTGCTCGAGTTGACTGCCTGAACTCGCAGGCTTCGCCCCATTTAAGCAACTTAATTCTATGTTGTCATACTTTTAATCTGTTTTCCTTCCTGCTGTCAGCTCTCAGCTATTCATGAGATATTGGAGCTACCCTCCTCCGCCCCATCGTCGGCCTCCAGGCATCAAACCGTGTGCCCATGATAAGCTCATCAGAAGGCCACTCCTTATCAAATCCAGATCTTAAGCGTTCTCTTCATCCCGTCAGAACCACCATCCTTGTCCAGACTCATATTTTACTTACAGCTTCAACACTCCCATAAAATATATGATGTCACAATGGGGTCTGATTTGCACAATCGATTCATATTTCTCATCCTTATGTGCACATGTCAATACAAACATGTATTTATTCTTAATTAAAATAAAAACAAAGTATAACAGGAATCCTAATGTCACAATCCTGTCAACAATCAATTACATGACTACTAACTTTCTTTCATTCTGAAACTTGAAATGTTACTTACGGACGCTTCCTTTTTGATTGTTTTAAACACTAAAATAAGCTTTTGACATTTCCACATGACTACGGACAACCAAGCAGAACACTGCGCGTTATATACTGTAAATGTTCCCCAGGACTCCAGGAGTCAAGGTTGATGTAAGGGGTTGTAACAAGACAAAAACAAATGATGGTCCAAACTCAAACACAATCATCTTCTGTTTATTTGGGCAGCAAACATGCTCAGGTCTTATGACAGTCAAGAACTACACATGGGCTGAGATACAGAGCAGAGACTGTTGGACATCACAAAATCAGCATAAACATTTCTCTTTGGGAACATACACAGACATAAGTTGTGAGACCGTTTATCCTTATATCAATATATTACTCCACACAAACAAAGTGTGAGACGTATAGCAAACACTATTTGAATATTTTTCTTACATTTATAATTTCATTTAAATACGAATTAATGTACAACTCAAGTGGTAACGTGTCTTTCTTTCCTCAGGTCATGCATGACTAAGTTTCAAATGACTAAGCAAACATGATATGTGCAACACAGCCAGAAAATACAAAAATACCTCATGTCTGGTATCCCAGTAGCTTTGCACTCCACCAAACCGGCACAATTGTAAGAAAACACAACATTAAGGCATAAATACATTTAAATGCAGTTACAGTACAGCATTAAAGTCACAACACAAAACACATTCTCACAGTGCGTTAAGCAGCAGCAGAGTTTAACATTCATAGGTAGCTTAGAAATCAGTGAGACACAAAAGAGAAGGGGAGGAAGTAGATGTGTTTGCAATAAAATGATAAGGCAGGAATAGGAATTATTAGGGCAACTAAAGTGTCCTTTTTATCATTATTGTCTTAATAAAATGAACTAGTAATGCTTTGATACCAGGTTACATCAGCACTCTATGGTGTAGTTTCGAGAAATCAAAAATGTGGTCTAGTTTTATTTCTTTATCAAACATTAGATCTAAACTTTCAAAAAGGCAGAGAATTTAGTTTGAATTTAAACAGATTATTTAGTTTTGCTCCTAATCTATTGCAATTCAGGAGTGCTTTGCTATTATTTTATAACTGTACTTTTTAAATAACAACAATCAAAAAGACACGATTCATATCCATTCCAATTATATATATCACATTCATTTGTTTAAAAGTACCATCAGCCTGTGCCCATGGAACAGTACAATGTAAATACAACATTTGTCTAGAAAACAACTTTTTTTCTCCCGGTATCACTCAAGAGATGGCAGTGTAAGTCTGTGGGTTCACCACAGAAGAATTGCAACTTGATTCCCATAAAATCATTCACATTTAAGATCCTGAAAAGATGAAGCCTGAGGACTTGTGGTGATTCCTTGACCTTTTGCTGAATGACACCCTGATGCTCACGCACTGGTGCCAACTCCTTAACTTTTCACTTTATGACAAAACACTAAAGAAGTTATGATATTCCTAAACCTCAGCTGTACTGTACATTGTGTTCAGTGCTAATTAGCAAATGTTAACAAGGAAACATGACAAACTGAAAGGGTAAACATAGCATCAGCATGCTGACGTTAGCATTTAGCTCAAAGCACAGCTCTGCAAAAGTGAAGCCATAAAATGACTGCTGACATGGCTGTAGACTTTTAGGCTTGTGACATGATTAACTACTCTCCATTCATTATAATAATATTTACACTGCACCTTGTCAGGGAAACCAAATGACAACTTTTTCTGAAATGGATTCACATGTTGAGTGTGACTTGCTTCTCATGTCATAGATGCTGTAGATGTCCATTAGTAGAGTTACCCGGCTGTGTCGTAAAGAAAAGGCTGAGAGAAAAAGAAGACAGTGTACATTCATGCATATTGTTTACCGATATAGCAATTAAGTGATGACCTATATTCTGAGTTTATAGTAAATATTTATAGGCATGTCACGGTTTAATGTGGTCCTTAGTGCTATGTTACAGTGCTGCTTGTTAATGGGACATCTCTCCATGACACTTTGAAACAGTTTCCATGAGTCAATGGAACTTTAAGACTTAGTGCAATTGTTTTTCCAAAGTTAGTTCATGGACAAAGATTTGTCAATGTTGTGTGCCTTTAAATGGTGAGGGCAGGAATCCTGTTTGCAAATGTTTCATTTCAACATGTTTTACGAGACGTAAAAAAGCCTCTTGCCTCCAGTTGAGAGGTCATCTGTGGGGTCACAGAGGTAAACCGGAGTACATGTTTGTCTGTGGATCTGTCACATCTGGGGGGTTGCGCTGTATGTGATTGTCAAGTGGTAAAGAAAGAGCGCAGTTTGCCGTCGTCTTCACGGCTCTTTTGCTGAAGCGGCAGCTCAGAAGAGAGCCAAGGTGGCGAAACACAGACTTGCGGCAGATGATGAAGACCCAGGGATCCACGATGGGGTTCAGGGCGTAGAAGCGGAAGGCTGTCAGGTTCTCTGTGTCGCCACAAAATGGGTGAATGGCGTTGATGAAGCCTGCAATCTGAAGAAAAAGAGGGTTGAGGTTATTTAAAAATAAAAAACATTTAAAATATTAGAGAGTTGAGTCCCCTACATGGAAGCAAGAGAAACGCTGGTTTTCTGTCCCTGATGTTTTGTTTGTTTAACAGTGTGCTCTATGTTCTTTTAGTTAAGTTAAGATGTGAATACTTCCTCAAACACTGGGCTTTACGTCTTTCACTTCTCTTATCCCTACCCACCTGTCCAACTTTCTGTATTACTCTAAAAAAATCTCTTTCTGATCAGCTTAGATATTTTGGGTGTATTTCTCCTAAATGATCATCAGTAATTTGTCTGGACACTAGCTTCGACTCTTTTGCTTTTTAAGACTCGTTGTTTAGATTATAAATAACTCTGAACCATGTTTATTTAATTCACAGAACAAGATGAGCATTATATCTGGGTGTCGGCACACTTGGAGCCGGTTTTCTTTAGTGTTTTGGGTACTGTATGCTTCCCATAACAAGCAAACCAGAACAATAGTTGTGGGATTTACGAGAAATGCTCAAAGTGATAAACAAGAGCTTTGGTAACCCGTCAGCCCAACTGATTAAACACTTTTTTACACTGCTGGTCGGGTCCCAATAGAAACAAACCTACATCAAGCCTCTGTAACAACATGATGGTGTTTTCTGCACTATTAAAACCAGATGAGAGCACATTACTTTGTTGTCAGTGACAGGCAAAGCTGTGGTTCTTCTTGTTATACTAGGCTATACCAAACATTAACGTCTATCTCTCTCTCTCTCTCTCTCTTCAAACCACAAGTTGGGTGTGAGCACTTCAATTTTGAGACGTACAAAGTGTCCTGCATCCAGCAGCAGAAAATGCTCCTGTAATAAGAAAACCACAACTCCTTCCTGTATTGACCTTTAAGGTATGACAGTCAGCAGGGAAGCAGCCCAGACAGCAGCAGCTGGCTGATTATTCATCCTGCCGAGAGAGAAGCATCAGCTGGCCCAGGAAGCATCATTGTCACCTCGCTCCTCTTCTCTATCAACAATTCTCCATTTCCTCCATGAAATATCCAACAAACAGTGGTCTAATTAATGACCTGTGCTGATAGAGTGCTTTAATACATTGGAGTAAATGTTTCCCTGTTGCTAGGGCCTGGACTGAAAACTAATAATCTAAAGTGGGAAGGGCCAGAGGGAGCAAGACCAGAGCCAGGCCAACAGGGATCAAGCAGGCACAGGGCTTACTCTGTCCTCTCCATGCTTATTTAGTGGATTACCTCACACGGATGTGGTCGCTCACATATTGATCTACATCCATGAGAAAGAAAGAGAGGGAAGAAGAGGCCGGCAGACCCAAAAACAACAGCAATTATGTTGTGACTCTTCTAAGAAAGGGTTGAGATCAGTGGTGTAATAACTAAAAACCCACACCCTGGAACACCATTGTCATCTTATTTGTATCAGAAGTGGTGAGAGTCCACATTTGAACCTAACAACAGACAGATGTTCTTGGCTGTTTCAGGAAGTATTCAAGGTTTCAGGAGGCAATGTCAAATTTCTTGAATTGCACAACCAATGTCGTCAGGATTGTTGTTGAATTCTCACTGAATGCAGAGGCTTAATACATGAAGCAAAAACGTTTTATGGATTATAATCACAATATGCCCAAGTTGTGTAATGAATAATGTAAAGCACATTGGGTTGCATCTATTAATAAATCCATTACTACATTTAGTTATCTTAGGTTTATAGTAGAGTTCAAGCCATATTGGTCTTTGAATTGGCCATGCCGAGGCCAATATTAATAGAGAGGGGGAGGGGGGGGGGGGAAATAGCTGATATATAATGCAGAAATATTGTTCTTGTTTTTATTATTGTGTTGTTTTAGGGGATTTTCTTCTGCATTGGATAAAACAATAAATAAAAAAGTAATAATGTTATCAAATGATCAGACATAGAATTGCTAAACCTAGATGAACATAATATAACATAGTCACCCTGTCTCCACTGCACTTACTGTATTTTAAATAAAAGTGAATCAACTATATTAATGTAAATGCATTTAAAAAACTGAACTTTAAAACAAGAAACAAACAACAATGTCAGTGTTGTGACCTTCTCTGTTCTTGCCAAAGTAAAATTGTATTTTATAAAAACACCAATGGGCCTTGTTAAAACAGACATGCCTATTATCTTAAATGGCATAAATGTGACGCATTTATTGGCAGACAGATTATTTGGTCGATCACTAGTTTTTATTAACTTCTAGCTAGTCTAAACCTAATATTTGTATAAGTTATATCTGTTTGCAATGACATCAGCAGAATGCAAGAGGTAGTTCTCACACATGGGTGCTCATGTTTAAAAACTTTAAAAAGTGAAATCATGTCCTTTTTTGACCTTAAAAACTAAGATACCACTAACTATCACAAAAACAGACCTCGCGCTAGCAACAACTTGTTATTTGAAATAATACTTGAAGTAAAAATGCATCTTAGGCCTACTGGCGCTAAACACACTAACAAACACGATGACAAATGCCTGTAGCGCTCAACTAGGAGTTATCGTACACTTTATTCATCATGCGATGTTACAGAAACATTTCAAACAGACATGCATCTTCATTTGCTCAGCCATTCCTTGCCTTTGTTGTCTCCCTCCACATTTCACCCTCAGCATTGCTTCTGTTCCCGCATGCCACCCTGCCTCTTATGGTCCTCTCCACAGACCTCAAGCGCTGCAGAGAAGGCCACAAATCACAAGCCGTCCTCTCCAAATGACTGCATGCTGTGGGGCCAAAACTGATGAGATGTCATGCTCTCCTTAAACAGGAGCATATTAATGAATCAGTCTGTGCTTGAAGAGCCCAGAAGCGGTGCTCAGCAGCCAAGTGCATGGGGATTATTTAGGTGAACAGAGAATGACGCCAATGCTTAAAGCTTCTAAAGAACGACGAGCTCATAGTCATAAATCATAGACACAATCACACATGTACTGTATATACAGATGCATACAGTACATTTGCAGGCAGATGCACAACACATCCACATTCATCACCATTCAGTAATCTGCAATCTGAATGTATCTCTACAACTGCTATATCAAAGCGAACTAGATTGATATTTTAGGCGTGAAGATTTTTTATTTTACTTCGATATCCTGCTGACTGAGTACCTGAACCTTGTTGGTTTAAATGGGAACATCCTGTCAGAGACACATAAGACGCTAAATGGGGCGGATGATCGCTGTGTCTTTCAGGAAGCAGACCACATAATGGATCTCTGCACTCTATGAGCCATTATTTCCCATCTCATGGTCCTGGAGGACTCTTCCCCATTCCTTCTTCCTGATCCTGTTTCACTGTGGGATCATTACACGGAGATGAGAGGAGGCAGCGCAGAGATTACAGGCCTTTCAGAGAGCACCGTTTACAGCAAAGAGCCAGAAAGAAAGAGAAATTCTGCAGTGCTACAGTAGACTTTAAAAGGAGTAGTGCAACATTTTTGGGAAACATGCTTAATTGCTTTCCTACAGACAGTCTAGGATAAGAAGATCACATTCCTGTTTCTTGGACAGACAACAAAACATCTCATCTTGGAGGCAGGGGAACAAGCTTCAAACACAGCTTGTATTGTAATGTGTATTGTATCTGTTAAGTTCCTGTCCACCTCACTGATACATTTTTAAGTTCATTAATTCAACATGTTTGCCTTTGTAGTGTATATCATAGTAATCCTTGATGATTATAGGGTTAGGGAAATAGTTACATCATGTAAACCTATTCTGAAAGCTCAAAGTGTTGATGTTAATGTCCTTTTCATGTACCGGTTAAACAAGTAGAGTGTGTTAATAATTAAACTTGAAAGCGGCTGGCAGGCATGCTTGGACAGATTCTGGCTAACTGCCCTAAAGTCTTTATGAGGCCTAACAGAATAATGACTCCTTGTTCTCAATGTAAAGACAGGAGACTGATATCAATGTTCAGTATGACACAGCAGCACAGTTTACCGAAGGTGTGAGAAACTAAAACGTGTTTCACAGCCAGTGAGGTGACACAAAGAGTTCTTACTCCTAATTTAACTTCAGTCTGTCCACTCTTCATCTGCCCTATCATTAACCTCTAGGTCACTTTCCATCCTCAGACTGAAGATACTGTTCATTGAGTTTTCACACACGTTGACTGCATGATTGTCTGTCATTTGTTCCTGCTTGACGCTGTGATGTCAAATAAATCGATCCAGGCTTCACAAGAACATATGAGTAGCCTCAAACCTCCCCAAGCTCCTCCAACGAAACCAATACATTTGCCCCGGGCTGAACGACCACGCTGACCTTTTACCAGATTTACCTCCAGAAGGAAACGATGATAAACTGTCTGGTGATGAGTCATAAGGTGCTTTAATGTAATGCATGTTTCCACACTGAAGGGGAAATACACTGCTCCACAATTGAGCATTTAGGAAGTTAGTGAGGGGGTGGTTAGTGTGGTCTGAGGTAGATGAAGATACAGAGAGGAAAAAGGAGTGGGTATGATCAGTGCTTGAATTGGGCCGGTACTCACCGGTAGTACGCAGTACCGGGACTTCTGATTGTTACCCATATGGTACCGTTACTTCTTACTGAGTACCGGCACGGTGCCGGTACAGCGGTACTAAGTACTCAGTAGATGCGTCATGAGGTGCCGCCGCCGCCGCTTTGTCCGCCTCGCCCCCGGAGCAGCCGTCTTCGTTGCCCCAAACACCGCCACCCCTCGGCGGCCCGCAAGTGCCAGAGGACCTCGGCAAAACAGAGCCTGCCCAGGTATATTTAAACAAGTTCCCAACTCGCCTGTACAGTGGGGTTAGGCAGTCATTTTGCAGCTCATGGTTTAAAAACAGAGATTGGCTGGAATTTGCTGTAAAAAAGATGCCATCTTCTGCTATGCATGTAGACATTTAGGTTAAAATACATCTAACTCAGATGCCTTCACCACAATTGTACCAGAGTACCAAACGCTGTCTCCTGGTACTCATCTGAGTAACTCACT